CTGAGGGCTTAGCTTCACCCAGCTGGTCACGGCCCTTTCCAGCAGACATTACAATGCCCCCAGTGCTATGGGGCAGCAACCTGGGCAGGGGCAGAAGGGAGAGCAGGAGCACACGGTGGGGAAGGAACAGGGGTGAAGCTGCTGTAACATGAATCTGAGCGTACCTTGTAAAATACAGATTTTTAATTTGTTTTAGTGTATAATTTCATTTTACTGATTGCCTTGATTTAATATGTTAAAAAATAGCTTTTTAAAGGGTGTGACTGAAGTCTTAGCTCTTCTTTATCTGTGCAACCCCATAGGCTTGTGCCCAGTAAGAGCACAGTAGATATACAAGGATCACAGTGATGAAAGCAGGGACCTTCTCATCGGGTTTCTGCTGACAGGGCTTCAGCTGCAAGACCCACCAGTACTGGAAAATCGGCAAAACTTTCCTTACTAGGAGGCCACGAATGGCCTCTGCAGTCCAGAAAAAGGGTGTAGACAGCCAGAGAGACACCAGGCCTGTATCCTTTGGGAGATGCTTGGACCCAGGGCAACTCCTCGGCAGCCTGAGCTGTCAGTGGCCTTGTGGCTGGGATCCACAGCTGTGCCAGCCCCTGGCTCCAGGGACAGTCATGGTATGTAAGGTGCTGTTTTATGGGATGTTCACAAGCATCTTGGGCTTTACTGCCACGGGAGTTGCTGCATATGATGAGGGGTGCTAGTTCTAGCTAGTGGGACAATAGTGGAGTATAAGATACTGCATACTCAAAACAATGCCCTGCCATTTGTCGCCACAGCTGGCAGCTGGTTCATGGGAACAGTAGGAGACACACATTTCTATCATATAGGGCAGACATCTGAGAAAACCCAGTTCTCAGAGCAGAAAGCCTGACAATGTCAGGATTTCTTGGCTAGTAACTTTGTACTTGTAGAAATAATATGAAAACTTGCAGGGTCTGTTTCACCCTATCCTACCTCTTTCTTCCCTCTCACAGAAAAAATGCTCTTCCAGCACTTTTCTAGGCTAAGATGAGTCAGCCCAGAGTTAGTGGAGGAGTGGATGCCTGAACATGAAGTGTGTACATTAAAACATGAAAAACAGTCGTTAGGTGGGACTAGTTCATCCTGCATTTGCTGGGGCAGGAGAGGGGAATTCATTACACTGTGAAAGCAACTTTAGTGGGATGCAGGCTAATGTCTATGGAACTGAAAGAAGCTCACTGGGAAACCTTTTCATCCCCTTGCCTTCTTCCTTCCATCCTGCCCTCCCCAAGCACCTTTGACAGCCCCGTGCATATTGGGTGCTCTGGCATTAAAAGTTCATGTTTCACATACAACAAGAGGACTTTAAGACAAGCTTTTGGATTTAAAACACCCACAGTTTTCTCATGGTCTGAATTTGGATTGGCCCTAACAAGGAATCAAGAGCTGCCACAGAAGCTGGCTTGTGACTGATGTATTCATTTTAGACTCTCAACATTTTAATTGTTCTGATTCCTGACACCATTAAGGAACATCTCTGTTTCTGGATATGTTGGCTTGCTGGTGAGGCTAGGGCTTGTGTGGCCATGAGGCTGTGATTGTGGTCTGATCTGACACAATAACCTGATTTCTGCAAACCTACTTTTCAGTCTGTATTTGTAGGTCTGTCATCCTTTAGATTAAGCCAACAACAAAACAGCAGATGTCCCAAGAAGGAGCCTTGCTGGGTTTTCAGTATGCCTCTCTCTTTCTGAAACTGCCAAGCCTTATCCACTATATGCAGAAAAATGTTCACGGGAGGCATCTCCTCTATCCTCTTGATGTCATCCATTCAAGCTACGCATCCCATCAGCTTGTGTGTGGCTCTAATGTTTCCTTGTTTAAGCTTTGGACTGAGCCTGCATCTTTCATTGTTCCAAGATCAAAACAGTCCTAGAGCCAGGTAGGATTAAAATAGCGTCCTTTTCACTCTCCTGCAGAAGGGAGTAAACATTACACAATATGTATGTGAAAATGGCATTTGCATTGTCATTTAGAGTTAAATATTTTTATGTACTATCTCTGTTACATGATCATTGCTTTAACTACAGCTAATTGCAATTGAAGCATCTGCACTTCTGGTCTCAAAGGGAGCCCAGGGTGTTAGAGGCTTATGCAGAACTAACGCATGTGCTTCGCAAAGGCTGCTTCCTTCAGACGAGTCACCTGCTGCTGTCTGTTTCTGATGGTCCTTTTTCACCTGGCCTTGGGGCAGACCTTACTGCTTGCTCTGGTTTTCCTAATAATGCTCTCTGTGCAATTATTTAGAAGATCTCAGGTGATATGTCCTGTCCCATGTTGGGGAGGAAGGAGCACAGCCCTTCTGGAGTTCTCAGGTTGATGTTAGTCTGTTTCTTGCTGCACTCCTGCTTCTTTGAGATGGCAGGTAGGACTATGGTGCATGTTTCACTTTCTTGCTGTTTGGTAGGTCTGTTTTTGCTGCTTTTCCTCTCCACACAGTGTATCTTCAGGTAGATGGCAGAAGCTGGGAGGAGCAGTGCAGGAGGAAAAAAGTTGTGTTTGGTCCCCACTGCTTTGGTTCCTCTGATGTCAGCATGCTGGGACTAGCATTCCCCAGTTATTTCTGGGGCTGTGAAACCAGGAGCTTTCCTGACACACCGCAGCCTCCCCAGTATCTTAAAAACCCCAAACCACTGAGTTACATGTCTGAATGGCTGGCGAGTATGCACACTGCAGGGACAGCCTGCCTTGCTTTGAAAGCAGGTGTGTGCAGTGTGTGAGACTCTTAGTGCTATGCCAGTCCGGGAGGAGATCTCTGAAGGCTCCCCTAGATTTCAAGCACATGGGCAGGGAGGTGTGACTTGAAAAAGAAAAATGGCAAGCTTATTTTTTGGAGTGAAAGTCTCCTGTTTCTCCTGCCAAAGCAGGTTTTGGAGTCACCTTTAGTCAGTAAACTTCAGATTAAACTCCCTATAAAAAAGACTGTTCTGAGCCACTTGTGGACCAGCCCTGATGCAGATCTCAGCTCCTCCATCTCATAGCCAAGTTCTTGTCAGTTCATATTCATTGTCTTGGGAAACTGTCTTGTTATCAACAAAACTCATTAGCATTTTCATTCGTGATACTGGACTAAGGCTGAAAATATCCTGGGCTCCATGAAAACAAACTGAAAACAAATCAAAACTAAAACATCATCTTCTCCATCCCTCTTCTTCCAGGAGGAGTGCAGTGCACCAAGGCAGAGTCACTCAGATGCCTCTTAGCTGTGCTTCTTTACCATACAACTTCCCTGAACTGGACCTATTCATTGTGTGGAAGAGCGAGCCTTGGAGGACATGACTCCAAGGCTTTGTAGCTACCTTGTAGAGCACAGCCTGCAACTTGAAAGCACTCTTTTCTGGGAAGAGAGGAGGTTAAACCAGTACTGTTGGCCAGACCCAGTGCCCAAGTCTTCTCTAGTGAAGAGAGAAGAGTCCAGGCAGAGAAGGGAGGAGTGTCATGTCCCATACGATGTTTTTCTGGGAAAGAAGCAAACTAAAGCACAATGAGCAGGTGTTTTAGATCCATCTTTGAGGTGTAAACTAATCGCTGAGAGGGGAAGTTATGTGAAGAGTTGCCAGTATTAGAAATTTGAGAAGTCCTGTCCCTCAGAATGGCTCTGCCTGAGGCTTTTCCTTGCTGCCTCTTACAGATGATTTGTATGCATCTGGGAGGCTGTGCTGTTTGCAAGAAAAAGTCTCTGAAATAACAGAAAAGGATGTCCTATACGATGAGTGCAAGGAGGGAAGAATCCCAGCTCTCAGAGACATGTAGCCTTTAAGACATTTGAAAGCAGTGATATTTTATAAAGGAGAATCTTTGAGTAAGCGCTAAGCAGTTATTGTTTCTGGTCTTATAGATGACCCAGGAATGTGATGTTTTTACTGGCACTTAGTGAGACAGCTCTTGGCTGGGAGCTATCCAAGCCTCCTGGCATGGCTTCGGGATTCCTGCCGATTTGTCCCAAAGGTTTTAACCAAAATCCCACATGCTTGATATAATCACTCAGTGCCTTTAGAAAGGGTTTTATACCTAATATGGACAAAAAAGGGCTCTGCTTTTTCAGAGATGTGACGTGTAGTGAGCAGGTTTGGATCCAGAAATAGACTCATCTGTATTCACTTAGCTTTGGTATTTTTTGTGGTCTTTATTATAACAGGCAGGCACCTGCTGACTGTCCAAGCCTAGATTGCAATATTCAGATTTAAAAAGCACAGCTACCCCCTCAGTTTCTCTTGATTGACATCTGTGTGGCATGTAAATGTCAAACACACCATGGGGAAGTTAATGACTGTATCATACTGGCCTTCTGTGTGGATACAGAGGAGATGATCAGCCACTTTGGCTAAATGTACAAGTGGGCAGAAGCTGATGGAAACAGTGACTGAGCTCCTTTATCACAGAGTTGTTATTAATGGAGATGATTCTGTCACTGCTGCATATCAACAATGTACAGCTGCACAAAGAGGCTAAGTGATGCCAAGTGATTCTTTTGCAGCCACTTTTCACTCCATGCGGCACAAGCACGGCTGACTCCATGAGATGCAGGGAAGTAGGCAGCCTCGCCTATTGTCTCAGACCCCGCTTTCAGCTTTTTGCTGCTGGGGTATTGGGGTTTGCTAGTGTACCTGCAGCCATTCTGTGCCATGATGGACGTAGCTCCTGGACGAGGCAGCATCAGAACTTCCTTGCATTGTATCTCGGGATTACATGTGACTGCATCTGAAGTCAACAAGCTGCCTTGTTAAAATAACAGCCCCTAGGAAGCGTGTGCCTGCTGATCTGGTGAAAATCAGTTGCAGCTACACAAAACTGGAATGCTGCATCACAGCTTATTAAAAATACAGTGGGAAGCTGCTATGCACGGATGTCACTGCCATCTGCGCGCATTGTACACATGCAGGACACAGGCAGACCAGCTCTCTGCTCTGAGGACCTTGCCAGTGAGGATGGTTTTTCTAAAGAGCTCAGTATTGGTGTAGTTATACTTCTTTTCCAGTAAATAAACTGAATCCAGCAAGCGGTTGTACCCTTCTTTCACACACAGTGCTGCCGGGCCTTTCCCTGCAGTGGTATAGGCAGGGTTGCAGAGTCCAGTATACTGAGGGAATACTTGTCAGCCACGCCAATTTAAACCATTTCCTTCTCTAGGAAATATATTCAATAAGATGGTTATAGAGGACAGTCTTTA